TCTAACAGGTATCAACTTAGAGTGACAGTCGTTTCTTTACTGATGTTCGGAAAACACCAATGACACACCAATGATTTGCAAACATCCGGATGTTTCGCAAAATCTGCAAAAATCGCCTTTTGCTTATTGAGACAAGCTGGTTTTTCTTCCGAAGCAGTAGTTTTTTCGGAAGGATTTAGAGTAATCATCTAGAAGGGAAGCCAGACGAACATGCCTAGTTGGCTGCCAGTTTGAAAGATTTTTGACAAATTGACATACGGATGACAATTTGGCAAGGTGAATACAAAATTTTTTTTTTGGAAATGACCCATTTTTCTTCTGAAGGCGGTAGTTTTGTCTTATGATTCAAGGTAATCATCTGGAGACAAGGTCAAACGATAACTCCTGGTTGGCTGCCAGTTTGTATGACTTTTAACAAATTGACATACGGAGTACAAATTGACAAGGTAGAGAACAAGTTTAATTTTTTGTTATGAATGATTACTCTTCTTGTTCTAAAAGGTATCTATTTAGAGTGACAGTCGTTTCTTTACTGATGTTTGGAAAACTCCAATGATTACCACAACAATTTTTCAAACATCCGAATGTTTCGCAAAATCTACAACAATCGTCTTCTGCTTAATGAGACAAGCACATTTTTCTTCCGAAGCAGTAGTTTTTTTTGAAGGATTTAGAGTGATTATCTAGAAGGTAAGCCAGACGAACATGCCTAGTTGGCTGCCAGTTTGAAAGACTTTTGACAAATTGACATACGGATGACAATTTGGCAAGGTGAATACAAAATTTTTTTTTTGGAAATGACCCATTATTCTTCTGAAGGCGGTAGTTTTGTCTTATGATTCAAGGTAATCATCTGGAGACAAGGTCAAACGATAACTCCTGGTTGGCTGCCAATTTTATGCCTTTTGACAAATTGATATACGGATGACTGTTTGACAAGGTGAATACAAAATTTTTTTTTGTTGGAAATGACCCATTTTTCTTCTGAAGGCGGTAGATTTGTCTTATGATTCAAGTAAATCATCTGGAGAGAGGGTCAAACGATAACTCCTGGTTGGCTGCCAGTTTGTAAGACTTTTGACAAATTGACACACGGAGGACAAATTGACAAGGTAGACAAAAAGTTTAATTTTTTGTTATGAATGATTACTCTTCTTGTTCTAACAGGTATCAACTTAGAGTGACAGTCGTTTCTTTACTGATGTTCGGAAAACACCAATGACACACCAATGATTTGCAAACATCCGGATGTTTCGCAAAATCTTCAAAAATCGCCTTTTGCTAATTGAGACAAGCTGATTTTTCTTCCGAAGCAGTAGTTTTTTCGGAAGGATTTAGAGTAATCATCTAGAGAGGAAGCCAGACGAACATGCCTAGTTGGCTGCCAGTTTGAAAGATTTTTGACAAATTGACATACGGATGACAATTTGGCAAGGTGAATACAAAATTTTTTTTTTGGAAATGACCCATTTTTCTTCTGAAGGCGGTAGTTTTCTCTTATGATTCAAGGTAATCATCTGGAGACAAGGTCAAACGATAACTCCTGGTTGGCTGCCAGTTTGTAAGACTTTTAACAAATTGACATACGGAGTACAAATTGACAAGGTAGAGAAAAAGTTTAATTTTTTGTTATGAATGATTACTCTTCTTGTTCTAAAAGGTATCTATTTAGTGACAGTCGTTTCTTTACTGATGTTTGGAAAACTCCAATGATTACAACAACAATTTTCAAACATCCGAATGTTTCGCAAAATCTACAACAATCGTCTTCTGCTTAATGAGACAAGCATTTTTTCTTCCGAAGCAGTAGTTTTTTTTGAAGGATTTAGAGTGATTATCTAGAAGGTAAGCCAGACGAACGTGCCTAGTTGGCTGCCAGTTTAAAGACTTATGACAAACTGGCATACGGATGACAATTTGGCAAGGTAGACCAAAAATTTCCTTTTTTGTTATGATTGACTACTCTTCTAGCCCTAACAGGTATCTATTTAGATTGACAATCGTTTCTTTACTAATGTTCGGAAAACACGAATGATTACATCAATAATTTTCCAAACATCTGGATGTTTCGCAAAATCTACAACAATTGCCTTTTGCTTATTAAGACAGGCTGATTTTTCTTCTGAGGCGGTAGTTATGTCTGAAGGATTTAGAATAATTATCTAGAGGGTAAGCCAGACGAACATGCCTAGTTGGCTGCCAGTTTGAATGATTTTTGACCAATTGACATACGGATGACAATTTGGCAAGGTGAATACAAAATTTTGTTTTTGTTGGAAATGACCCATTTACTTCTGAAGGCGGTAGATTTGTCTTATGATTCAAGTAAATCATCTGGAGAGAGGGTCAAACGATAACTCCTGGTTGGCTGCCAGTTTGTAAGACTTTTGACAAATTGACATACGGAGGACAAATTGTCAAGGTAGACAAAAAGTTTAATTTTTTGTTATGAATGATTACTCTTCTTGTTCTAACAGGTATCAACTTAGAGTGACAGTCGTTTCTGTCATGTATTAAGTAATACACTTTAATAATTAATATGACTTGTACAGTACGCCAGCTCGCCAGAATCATTCTGATTGTAAACATTGCAATTGTAACACAACTTCATAATCTGTCTGCTTAGCAACAATACACCACATCTCCTCTCTCCGTTACAAAAAACTTTTTTCGCTACATTTTTCCCTTTTCATATCCATATCGATCGGGAACCTTCGTCACTCTTGTAGACTGGCGTAATGCTGGCTGTTCCGCATTTGTCGCTTGTGGTAGCGGTTGCGGATTCGTTATCGCTTCCGGTACAGCTGGAATCTCAGGTTCTGGCTTCACAGTTACTGCTGCTGGTACTTCTGGTTCAGCAGTTTTCATACTCGCGCTCGATGTCGTTTCTGCCAGTTGTTTTGGGATTTCTGGCAGTGCGGTTACATCATTTGGCTCTTCGTTGTCGCTTCTCCAGTGTCTGAGTTTGATCTGGTCTTCATGCCTGACCCACTGATCACCATCAACTGTGACTATCCACTGACGTTGACCTTTCCTGCTGATTAGTTTCCCAGCTGTCCAGTTTGTTTTTCGGCCCATGGCGGTAATCGCGAACGATGACCTTCTGACCAGGGCTAAACTCCTTCGCCTTCGTGTGCTGATCGAACTGCTCTTTATAACGAGTCTGGTTTGCGACTCGCTTCTCATTCACATCTGGATGAATGCGATCCAGTGCTGTTCGCAGCCGTCGGTTGAGAAACAGTTCATCCGGTGGACTTCCGGTTGTTGACTGCGGTGTCGTACGGTAGCGAAGCAGGTACTGCCGTATGGCTTCGTCGAGATCGGTTTTCCCGGCAGCCAACATCTTTGTCATGGCGTCTTTGAACGAACCGACATACCGCTCCGCCTGCCCGTTTGACTGCGGATGTCCTGGAGCCGTGCGCAGGTGCTTGATTCCGTTACGTTGACAGTAATCACTGAATTCCGCCGAGGTAAACTGCGGCCCATTGTCCGTTACCAACTGTCTGGGATACCCATAGCGCACGCACAGGTTTTCCATTACGGCAATGACATCCGCTGACTGGGTGCGCCTCATTCTGATCACCTCTGGCCATTTGGAGAAACTGTCCACGATGATCAGGAACATTTCGTTACGAAACGGTCCCGCGAAATCCATGTGGACACGTTCCCACGCACGCTCCGCTATCGGCCATTGCTGCAGGGGGACTTTTGGTGTCTCTTTGATGCCAGGCTGCACTGTGGACAGTTCTGAGACAGGCGTTCAATGTCGCCGTCCATTCCTGGCCACCAGAAGTGACTGCGCGCTTCCGCCTTCATCCTGACTACACCTGCATGGGTCTGATGCAGATAATTCAGTAGCTGCGTCCTGAGGGCGGTTGGAATCACTGTCCTTGCTCCCCAAACCACGCAACCACTGACCACCGACAACTGAAATCGGCGCTGGTAGTATGGCTGGATATCTGCTGGAGCCTTATCTGGCCATCCGGACAGTACCAGATGTCTGCAGCGCGCAAGAAGCGGATCTTTACCGGTCGCTGACGCAATCTTCCGTGCGTCGACAGGTGTTTCGGACAACTGCTCAACGTCGATTTGGTGCACCACTTCACTCATTCCCCAATCGTTGACATCGAACATGTCTTTGGAGTGCAGCGGCAACCTACTGAGTCCATCAGCTTGCCCGAAGTCCGCTGTTGACCGGTATTCAATCCGGAAGCTGTATCCCATCAGTGCCACTGCCCATCGCTGCAGTCTGTTTGCTGACACGATCGGGATTCCGGCTTTACTTCCGAATATCGTGACCAGTGGCTTATGGTCGGTGAGTAATACGAACTCGCGTCCGGCCAGATACTGGTCAAATTTCTTCACTCCGAAGACCAGAGCCAGCGCCTCTTTTTCAATCTGGGCGTACCGCTGCTCCGTTTCGGTCAGTGTTTTCGACGCATGCGCAATGGGGCGGTCTTCACCCTCCGGGCCGCGGTGGCTGATCACTGCGCCAATGCCATACTGTGATGCATCAGCTGCTAGTATCAGTGGCTTTGCTGGATCGTAGTGGACCAGCATCGTTGCCTCCGCCAGCTCTTTCTTCAGGCCTTGGAAGGCAGATTCACACTCCCGTGACCACGCCCAATCGACATCCGCTTTCAGCAACGAATTCATACAGTAAGTTTTCGTTGCTAGCTGAGCGATGAATCGGTTGTAGTGGTTGATCATTCCTAAGAATGACCGGAGCTGCTGAACGTCTTCCGGTGCCGGCATATCCAGTATGGCCTGTACCTTGCTGACGGATACGTGGCGCCCGTGCTTATCCACCACGAATCCGAGATACTCCACTGAGGCTTGGAGAAAGTGACACTTCTCTGCCTTCAGTGTGAATCCTTGTTCCCTCATGCGCGTTAGTGTTTGCGTCACATTTCCGAGATGCTCCTTCCGGTTCCGTCCCGTGACGATGACATCATCTTGGAATATCGCCAGGTAATCGATACCACTAAGCATACTTTCCATCAGTTGCTGGAATATGCTGGTGCTGCCGCCACACCGAATGGCAGTCGTGTGTAGCGGAATAGACCACGGTGCGTATTGATCACCACCAACCAGCTGCTTTCCTCATCCAGCGGAACTTGATGGTACGCATCAGACATGTCTATTGTCGTAAATTCTTCGCCTCCGTTCAGTACTGCAAACAGTTCATCGGGCAGAGGCAGCGGATATCTCTGTATATCCAGCGCGTCGTTTAGCCCTGTGCTCAAGTCGGCACATGTTCGCACTTTCCGTTTCACTCTACGGACTATCACAATTGGTGCGGCCCACTTTGCCCGATCGACCTTGACCAACACTCCCAGTCGTACCAAACGCTCCAAGTCTTCTTCCACTGGTTGTCTGAGCGCGAACGGCACTGGGCGTGGTTTGCAGAACTTCGGTATGGCGCCTGGCTTCAGGTATAGATGCGCTTGAAATGTCCGGCAGCATCCTAGCTCGTCCCGGAACAGTTCCTTGTTCTGCGCGAGGATACTTTCCAGCGTGTCCGGTTCCGCCACCGTGTGAACGGCTGACGTTGACAATTCGCTGAACTTCAGGTCGCCCATGTTTAGCGCGCGGATCCAGTCTCTTCCCAAGATCCCGCCGCCCTTATCAGCCACTATCATCTCAAGGTCACTGGCTGTGCTGTTCCGGTGCTCTGCGTTCACCTTGCACACGCCTAGTACTCGTATTGTGTGGCCAGTGAAACTGCGCAGCAATCCTTTGTATGGGGACAGTTTAGGTGATCCCACTGATTGCCACATTTGCCTTGATGCAATGGTCTTCCCGGATCCGGTGTCCAGTTCAAAAGTTACTGACCGTCCGTTGACCTTGATGCACATCTGCATCGGGTTTCCGTCTGGCGAGCTAGTGTGCAGAATGTCGTACACGGCTCCTGTCCGGCTGCTCCGCTACCGCGTTGCCCTCCTTGATATCCGCTTGCCTGTTTGGACTTGCAGACCCGCGCAATATGGCCGGCCTTGCCACAATTGCGACAGTTCTGGTCCTTGAACCGACATTGCTCTTGGTCGTGGTTCGTGTTTCCACACCGATAGCACGCTTTGCCGCCACCGCTGTTTGGAGCTCGCTTGGCTTTGGCACCACCATTTGGCTTGAAGCTTCGACGGGATGAGGTCGCCTTCACGATGTCTTCTTGGAGGTTGTTGTTGACCTTGGCCTCTTCCTGGCCAGTCTCAAACCGTTTTGCGATCTGCAGTGTCTCGTCGAAGGACTTAAGCTCTTGCGACATGAGATGGCGCCTCGTGGTATCGCTGTACACTCCAGCCACAAACACTGAGCTAAGTAAATCCTCCAACAACGTCCCAGGAAACTTACATGTGTAAGTTTTATCCCGTAGTTCGTTAGAGAAAGCCACTAGCGATTGGCTGGATTTCTGTCGAGTAGAGAAAAACGAGGCCCATTCAGTCGTTTGGTAGGTGACCTTTATGTACGTATCGTCCAGCTTCTTGATAAGCTCATCGTACGACAGCTCCGTAGGCTCCTTTGGTCGACAGGCGCTGACAAGGTCTTGGAAGGCTCGGACTTCCAGACTGTTCAGCAGCACTTCTTTCTGTTTCGTGGCGGCTATTTCCGCAAGGGCAAAATAGTTCTTTAACAACGACTTCCATGATGTCCATGGTAGCTGGTCCGGGTTAAACCGTATCAGATTCTGCGCTTTCTTTTCAGTAGACATGGTTTGTGGAATACGACTATCCTTCACGCCAGATGTCATGTATTAAGTAATACACTTTAATAATTAATATGACTTGTACAGTACGCCAGCTCGCCAGAATCATTCTGATTGTAAACATTGCAATTGTAACACAACTTCATAATCTGTCTGCTTAGCAACAATACACCACAGTTTCTTTACTGATGTTCGGAAAACACCAATGACACACCAATGATTTGCAAACATCCGGATGTTTCGCAAAATCTTCAAAAATCGCCTTTTGCTAATTGAGACAAGCTGATTTTTCTTCCGAAGCAGTAGTTTTTTCGGAAGGATTTAGAGTAATCATCTAGAGAGGAAGCCAGACGAACATGCCTAGTTGGCTGCCAGTTTGAAAGATTTTTGACAAATTGACATACGGATGACAATTTGGCAAGGTGAATACAAAATTTTTTTTTTTGGAAATGACCCATTTTTCTTCTGAAGGCGGTAGTTTTGTCTTATGATTCAAGGTAATCATCTGGAGACAAGGTCAAACGATAACTCCCGGTTGGCTGCCAGTTTGTAAGACTTTTAACAAATTGACATACGGAGTACAAATTGACAAGGTAGAGAAAAAGTTTAATTTTTTGTTATGAATGATTACTCTTCTTGTTCTAAAAGGTATCTATTTAGAGTGACAGTCGTTTCTTTACTGATGTTTGGAAAACTCCAATGATTACAACAACAATTTTTCAAACATCCGAATGTTTCGCAAAATCTACAACAATCGTCTTCTGCTTAATGAGACAAGCACATTTTTCTTCCGAAGCAGTAGTTTTTTTTGAAGGATTTAGAGTGATTATCTAGAAGGTAAGCCAGACGAACATGCCTAGTTGGCTGCCAGTTTGAAAGACTTTTGACAAATTGACATACGGATGACAATTTGGCAAGGTGAATACAAAATTTTTTTTTTTGGAAATGACCCATTATTCTTCTGAAGGCGGTAGTTTTGTCTTATGATTAAAGGTAATCATCTGGAGACAAGGTCAAACGATAACTCCTGGTTGGCTGCCAATTTTATGCCTTTTGACAAATTGATATACGGATGACTGTTTGACAAGGTGAATACAAAATTTTTTTTTTGTTGGAAATGACCCATTTTTCTTCTGAAGGCGGTAGATTTGTCTTATGATTCAAGTAAATCATCTGGAGAGAGGGTCAAACGATAACTCCTGGTTGGCTGCCAGTTTGTAAGACTTTTGACAAATTGACATACGGAGGACAAATTGACAAGGTAGACAAAAAGTTTAATTTTTTGTTATGAATGATTACTCTTCTTGTTCTAACAGGTATCAACATAGAGTGACAGTCGTTTCTTTACTGATGTTCGGAAAACACCAATGACACACCAATGATTTGCAAACATCCGGATGTTTCGCAAAATCTGCAAAAATCGCCTTTTGCTAATTGAGACAAGCTGATTTTTCTTCCGAAGCAGTAGTTTTTTCGGAAGGATTTAGAGTAATCATCTAGAAAGGAAGCCAGACGAACATGCCTAGTTGGCTGCCAGTTTGAAAGATTTTTGACAAATTGACATACGGATGACAATTTGGCAAGGTGAATACAAAATTTTTTTTTTTTGGAAATGACCCATTTTTCTTCTGAAGGCGGTAGTTTTGTCTTATGATTCAAGGTAATCATCTGGAGAGAAGTTCAAACGATAACTCCTGGTTGGATGCCAATTTAAAAGAATTTTGACAAATGACATAAGGATGACAATTCGGCAAGGTGGATACAAAATTCTGCTTTGTTGATGGGAATGACCGATTTCACTTCTGAAGCGTTAGTTTTGTCTTGTTGATTTAAATTATTTATCTGGAGAGAAGGTCAAACGATAATGCCTGGTTGGCTGCCAGTTTAAAGACTTATGACAAACTGGCATACGGATGACAATTTGGCAAGGTAGACCAAAAATTTCCTTTTTTGTTATGATTGACTACTCTTCTAGCCCTAACAGGTATCTATTTAGATTGACAATCGTTTCTTTACTAACGTTCGGAAAACACGAATGATTACATCAATAATTTTCCAAACATCTGGATGTTTCGCAAAATCTACAACAATTGCCTTTTGCTTATTAAGACAGGCTGATTTTTCTTCTGAGGCGGTAGTTTTTTCGGAAGGATTTAGAATAATTATCTAGAGGGTAAGCCAGACGAACATGCCTAGTTGGCTGCCAGTTTGAATGATTTTTGACAAATTGATATACGGATGACAGTTTGGCAAGGTGAATACAAAATCTTTTTTGTTGGAAATGACCCATTTTTCTTCTGAAGGCGGTAGTTTTGTCTTATGATTCAAGGTAATCATCTGGAGACAAGGTCAAACGATAACTCCTGGTTGGCTGCCAGTTTGTAAGACTTTTAACAAATTGACATACGGAGTACAAATTGACAAGGTAGACAAAAAGTTTAATTTTTTGTTATGAATGATTACTCTTCTTGTTCTAACAGGTATCAACTTAGAGTGACAGTCGTTTCTTAACTGATGTTTGGAAAACACCAATGACACACCAATGATTTCCAAACATCCGGATGTTTCGCAAAATCTGCAAAAATCGCCTTTTGCTAATTGAGACAAGCTGATTTTTCTTCCGAAGCAGTAGTTTTTTCGGAAGGATTTAGAGTATCATCTAGAAAGGAAGCCAGACGAACATGCCTAGTTGGCTGCCACTTAGAAAGACTTTTGACAAATTGGCTTACGGATGACAATTTGGCAAGGTAGACACAAAATTTCTTTTTTTGTTATAAATGACTACTCTTCTAGCCCTAAAAGGTATCTATGTAGAGTGACAGTCGTTTCTTTACTGATGTTTGGAAAACTCCAATGATTACAACAACAATTTTTCAAACATCCGAATGTTTCGCAAAATCTACAACAATCGTCTTCTGCTTAATGAGACAAGCACATTTTTCTTCCGAAGCAGTAGTTTTTTTTGAAGGATTTAGAGTAGTTATCTAGAAGGTAAGTCAGACGAACATGCCTAGTTGGCTGCCAGTTTGAAAGACTTTTGACAAATTGACATACGGATGACAATTTGGCAAGGTGAATACAAAATTTTTTTTTTTGGAAATGACCCATTTTTCTTCTGAAGGCGGTAGTTTTGTCTTATGATTCAAGGTAATCATCTGGAGAGAAGGTCAAACGATAAATCCTGGTTGGATGCCAATTTGAAAGACTTTTGACAAATTGACATACGGATGACAATTTGGCAAGGTAGACCAAAAATTTCCTTTTTTGTTATGATTGACTACTCTTCTAGCCCTAACAGGTATCTATTTAGAGTGACAGTCGTTTCTTTACTAATGTTCGGAAACGCGAATGATTACAACAATAATTTTCCAAACATCCGGATGTTTCAAAAAATCTACAACAATCGCCTTCTGGTTATTAAGACAGGCTGATCTTTCATCTGAGGCGGTAGTTTTGTCTGAAGGATTTAGAATATTTATCTAGAGGGTAAGCCTATCAAACATGCCTAGTTGGCTGCCAGTTTGAAAAACTGGCATCAGCACGAAAAACTGGCACTGGCACTGGAAAAACACGAATGATTACATCAATAATTTTCCAAACATCCGGATGTTTCGCAAAATCTGCAAAAATCGCCCTTTTGCTTATTGAGACAAGCTGATTTTTCTTCCGAAGCAGTAGTTTTTTCGAAGGATTTAGAGTAATCATCTAGAAAGGAAGCCAGACCAACATGCATAGTTGGCTGCCAGTTTGAATGATTTTTGACAAATTGACATTCGGATGACAATTTAGCAAGGTGAATACAAAATTTTGTTTTTGTTGGAAATGACCCATTTTTCTTCTGAAGGCGGTAGATTTTTCTTATGATTCAAGTAAATCATCTGGAGAGAAGGTCAAACAATAATTGCTGGTTGGCTGCCAGTTTGAAAAACTTTCGACAAATTGACATACGGAGGACAAATTGACAAGGTAGAATCAAAATTTCCTTTTTGTTATAAATGACTTTTCTTCTAGCCATAACAGGTATCTATTTAAAGCGACGGTCGTTTCTTTATTGATGTTCGGAAAACACGAATGATTACACCAATGTTCTCCAAATATCCGGATGTTTCGCAAAATCTGCAAAAATCGCCTTTGCTTATAGAGACTAGCTGATTTTTCTTCTGAAGCAGTAGTTTTTTTGAAGGATTTAGAGTAATCATCTAGAAAGGAAGCCAGACGCACATGCCTAGTTGGCTGCCAGTTTGAATGATTTTGACAAATTGACATTCGGATGACAATTTAGCAAGGTGAATACAAAATTTTGTTTTTGTTGGAAATGACCCATTTTTCTTCTGAAGGCGGTAGATTTTTTCTTATGATTCAAGTAAAATCATCTGGAGAGAAGGTCAAACACAATTGCTGGTTGGCTGCTAGTTTGAAAAACTTTCGACAAATTGACATACGGAGGACAAATTGACAAGGTAGAATCAAAATTTCCTTTTGTTATAAATGACTTCTTCTAGCCATAACAGGTATCTATTTAAAGCGACGGTCGTTTCTTTACTGATGTTCGGAAAACACGAATGATTACACCAATGTTCTCCAAACATCCGGATGTTTCGCAAAATCTGCAAAAATCGCCTTTGCTTATTGAGACAAGCTGATTTTTCTTCCGAAGTAGTTTTTTCGGAAGGATTTAGAGTAATCATCTAGAAAGGAAGCCAGACCAACATGCATAGTTGGCTGCCAGTTTGAATGATTTTTGACAAATTGACATTCGGATGACAATTTAGCAAGGTGAATACAAAATTTTGTTTTTGTTGGAAATGACCCATTTTTCTTCTGAAGGCGGTAGATTTTTTCTTATGATTCAAGTAAATCATCTGGAGAGAAGGTCAAACAATAATTGCTGGTTGGCTGCCAGTTTGAAAAACTTTCGACAAATTGACATACGGAGGACAAATTGACAAGGTAGAATCAAAATTTCCTTTTGTTATAAATGACTTCTCTTCTAGCCATAACAGGTA